AAGTGTGAGCTGATTTGCACAGAACAAATTCTCAAACGTTTACAGTAGACACATCAAATATAACTAAAACATCCCACAACAATTAATCCCTTCATAGGTATAGAATCAGGGGGAATCAGGCTCAAATTCACCCCATCTCTGAAAGCTCAAGAATGAACTTCGAATCGGTCACTTCCTCTTAGGCCACCCTACCAAACGTTGCCATTATGGGATGTATGTGGGGCATCTGAGAAGCGAGTGATAATGTGCATTGCCTTGATTTCTTATAGGAAGAACAAGAAATACATCTAACAAATAAGAATGTAGGCAATCCTCAATTTACAGCCAATACTGAACCTGGAATATAGCAATAGCAATAGCAATAGCAATAGCAATAGCAGTAGACTTATATACCGCTTCATAGGCCTTTCAGGCCTCTCTAAGCGGTTTACAGAGAGTCAGCATATTGCCCCCAACAATCTTGCCAGTCATTAAGCAGGCCATCACATAACCAACATAATTTTATGGCTTTTTGGTCTTAAAATGAATGCTGTGATTGTTAAGTAAACCCATTCCTCTGCACTGAGCTCTTTTTCTTTTTTTGCCAAAAAAAAGTCAGAAGTAATTGCTGTTTTTTGCAAAAAAAAAAAAAAAAAAACTAAATTGCCATCATGGGGGTGCTGGACCCTGCGGGTGGCTGACTACCCAAAGTGTGGTTATGTGACCATGGAGGGAGGGAGGGGCAGCCATCAGAACTTCGAATCATTTAGGTTTGGTTTCATTGCAAATTGAATTTGCAATTTGGTCACTAAACAACTGATCATAAGTCAAGGGCTACCTGTACTACTAGTAGTAGTTCAAGGGGAATAAAGGATTTAATGTTATTCCTTTATTTTAGAGCTTATGTCTGAATATTCACATCTCCCATTCCAACATGGAAGGAAACTGCGATGCCAATTTTCAGCAGCATATTGCCCTTTTCAACCATATCTTATGGACACCTTTTTAAAAAAAGCACATGAAAGATTTATAATTTTGCTTTTAGATGTGTAGCTCTTGATCAAAAGAAAAATGGGGAAAAGGAGTGAAAAGGGATGGATGGAAGAAATGAAAGAAGTCTAGATGAGAGAGTGTAGATCAGGGGTGTCATACTCAAGGATCAGGGGCCAGATCCGGCCCACAAGATGCTTAGATATAGTCCACGGCAGCACCCTGGAAACAGTGAAGGACTGGCCCATGGTGCTTCTGCCAATAAAAATGGAGCTCGGGAGGGCTGCATACAGGTTCTCCCAAGCTCCATTTTCACTGGGAGAGGGTTGCAGGAGGCTGTTTCAGCTGAAAATGGAGCTCAGGAGCCCATTTTCTCTGGCAGAGCAGTCCGGCCTCCACAGGTGCTCCCTACACAAGTGTCATTGAGGTGGCCACGTCCCCCCTGGCCATGGCGACTCTGACACCACCACCCCCGGAGGTCAAACACAACTCTGATGCGACCCTCAATAAAATCAAGTTTGACATCCCTGGTGTAGACTATCTTGTAATCCATGTTGCTTTAACAGAGTATTTGGGGATTACATGTAATGTGTGATGCACTGACCTGGATCTGTCACATTCACCTGCAAATAGTAATTTTGGACCACTTGTCTGTTTAATTCCGATTTCAATAAGTGGACTGACCCAGTTCCCAATTCGATACGGAAGAGATTGTCTTGTGGGATTTTGGGGGTCTGGTCCATAAGGCTGAACTTCAGGCGAGAATTAAGAGACCCCTTCTCGTCATTGTCTGAGGCAACGACAATTCCTATTAAATTCCCTGTTGGTCACAGAAAAAACTGTAGTTAGACCAATAGCAAACAAGCATAGTAAAAAATAAAATAAATTACTTATACAAAGACAAACATAACTTTTGGGAATGGGCAAGGGAACTAACAGGATTCCTATATACACTGATTCTCAAATTCATGATACAGCTATTTGTGTGGAACATGATCTCCTAAAAACCTAACAAAAGGCAATTAATATTTTTCAGTGGCCAATCCAGAGATTAGCCACTGAAAAAGATTAGCGATGAGCAAAATAACTTTTTTTTCAACTTTATCCTTGCAGTGAGGGGGGTTGCATGTATAAAGGACCTGCCTATACAGTAGCAGTTTGGAAAACAAAATGCTTTAGGATCAATCTATATGCATAATTATTAATAGTACTAATATTAATATTAGCATTAATGAAAAGGGTGCCCACTGGGAGATGTGTTGAATGGAGCATGAGTGTTTAGGATTGACATTTGCTCATTGATTTAATGGCCTGTTGTTGGATCAATTTCAAGTTTTTTTTTAAAAAAAAAATATAGTAATTGCGAACTAGCAGAAAATGCAGCAGCCTAGTAGCCAGCTACTGGAAGGAGGGTATGCAAAGCATCGCAGAAAATTGAGCTTGTTATTAGAAAGGACTAAAGAACAGGAAACCATCCATTCTGGAAGATATAAAAATGGGTGAGGTTAGAAAACAATGGTCTTGAAGCAGATCTGGAAGATGTAGGTTCAGGATACGTTTATAATGTGTCAAGAAGAGAGGGAAGGAGAGGAGGTGGTCACCTCATTTCTTTATTGAGGAAGTGATGAATAACCTATGTAGGCAATGAGTCAAGCACAAAGAATGCATTTACTCAGTGTTAATATATGACCTCAACTCATACTCATCTTATCAAATCAGAGAACTGAGTATTTACTCGACCGTACTTTGCTGAATAAACTAAAAGGGCACATTTCATCTATCATGCTATGATATATGATTACTTATATTAACTGGTTGCTCTCATGAGATTAAGCCATAAACTAGCCAATCCCATTAAAACATGACAACCCTACATGAATGCACACATGCAATTTTGGAAAAACTAAAATTTCTAAATAGCTGTTCTTCTCAGTACTACAGATACAAGGGTTTGACTATCTTCTTCCATATTTGATCTATTGGAATGGTCAAATCCTTGTGACTGTACCACTCACAGGGATCTGACCACCTTCTTTCATACCCGATCTATTTGTGTAGGACTGGTTTTTTAGTATGGTCAAGATAACTCCTGTGGGATAGGAGAAGATACGTTTTCATTCTGTCTAAGTCAGGCATCAGCAACCTGCAGCCGCATGTTGCTCTTTCATCCCTCTGCTGTGGCTCCCTGTCACCAGTCAGTAAAAGGAAAAAGGACGCAGCACTAGGAGAAGACTCTATGGTGGGGGAACCAGACTTCTGGTTGGTAAAAAGAAAAAGGATGCCATGCTAGGAGAAGACTCTATGGTGGCGGAACCAGACTTCTGGTCGGTAAAAAGAAAAAGGATGTCATGCTAGGAGAAGACTCTATGGTGGGGGAACCGGATTTCTGGTCGGCTCCAGAATTAAATGGCGAGCTTCTGGTTAAGAGCTTTGTGGCTTTTTGAGTGTTTAATGTTGTCGACCCCTGGTCTACGTCATCCAGGTCCTGAGCTTGGGAACCAAGCACTAATTAATTCTTTGATAGGATGAGACTAGGGGCAGTCTCATTTGAAATGTGCAGATTTTATTCTCAATGACTCCTAAATTATATATTTAGCGCCTCTCCTTAAATAGTTCATGCTTTAGAGTTTTTGGCGCTCTCTGAGCTGTTTGCTTTCAGATGTGTGAGTGTTCTTTTTTTAAATTTTATTGATACATTTTTTCTTTAAAATACGTAAGTGTTTAATAAACAGTGTATTGTCCGGATCAATTTGCTTATACAAAGTATTAATGGTAATACTGGTAGTAATAATGATAATAATAACAACCGTAATAATAATGATACTGATATTTACTTTTATATAATGAAATTTTTGCATCTTTTACTTATACATATCAGTAATCTTTCATCCTCTAATTTCTACCTGTTTTATCTAACCATTGACAAAACAAACCCCATGTTAAAAAATATTCTGCTTCTTCCTTAGCTTTTGTTATTGTCAGTCTAATATTTTTCTAATTATACTTTCATTTGTAGGTGTACCCTCATTTTTCCAATATTGTGCAAATACAATTCTCGCTGCTGTCGGCACATGTATTATTAAAAATGTAATCCCTTTATTAGAATTTTCTAGTAATATACCTAACAAAAACAGTTCTGGTTTTAAGTTTATGTGTTGCTTTATCATTTTCTCTAACCATGTATGTATTTTCAGATGCTTGAGTGTTGATGATGTTACCTGGTTGGGTATTGAAATGTCTGCAAGCAAACAGCCAGCCTCAGAGACCACCGAGGATCTCACACTTCAACCCTGAGCTACACATATTCCCTTCTATTAGAACTCCTTATGCTATTCAAACTCATAAGAATTGATGGTATTAAATTGTATGCTCATTTAACTACCAAAGAAGCTTTGCATTCAATTATTTTTACTCATACAACCATGAAATGCAATATTTCTTACCCACATCCTCATTTTCTTGAACTTCAAATTTAGTCAAAATTTCGTTACACACAGGTGGGTTGTCATTGATGTCTACAACACGAACTGAAACATTGACGGGTTTGGCCAGCATATTTCCCTCCTCATCGTTTGCAAAGATATAGAATGAATACTGAAATAGGATATATAATTAAACTGCAGAAATAATGAATACAGGCTTAAGGAATTACTAATGTAGTGCAAACTACGTTATCAGAGTTTTGCCCCATGTCATATAAACCCATTCAAGAGCAGCATAACGTATTTGAAATGTTGATATCTAATAAGCTGAATAAACAATAATTAATTTTAAAAAAAAATCTAACATAGAATGCGATGCTGATAATGAAATGCAACAGTGGTGGATTCTGGATCCCGTTGCAACCGGTACAGTGCAACGGGGCTGGGTGTCCCCCACAAGAATGCGTGTGCACACACCCGTAGCGCATGCATGCATACTTATCTCCTGTGCGGAAGCCCTAAACAGCTCAAATACCAGTAAGGAGAGTGGGTAGGCAGGTGGGCCCTCCGGAGCACCGTACCAGAACGGTACCTGGTGCTCCCCAGCAGGCACTGGTACGCCCATACCAGGGCATACCACCTGCAACCCACCACTGAAATGCAAGTAGAAAACCACCTGAAAGGCATTGTAGTTTAGTTTTCTCCATATTTTAAAGCATACCCGCTATCCACTTTCATGTACTTACGTAGTCTTTCTCTTCTCTGTCTAGTGGTTTAGTTACATAAACTGTTCCATTCTGATCAACTGTAAATGGAATAGAATGCTTTTCTTTCTCTTGAATTTTATATGTTGCATATGGATCGTTCCATTGTACCTAATATTACAATGTAAAAATAAGCAACAAGTATACAAATGAAAAGTTTTGACCTGATAGATGGTTTAAAAAATATTTTTTCTCTCTTTAATATAACTAGGATGTCAGAATTGCCATTGCTAAGCAGTACAGTCATGTGACATCATGCTTTCCAACATGCTACTTAGCAATGCAAAATTCCTTTAGAGCATAAGATGTCCAGGGTTGCCTCAAAATGAGATGGATGGCAAATAATTTTTAATAATAATAATTATTATTATTATTATTATTATTATTATTATTATTAAAATAATTGCCAATTGCCATCATTAACCAAAGACTACCAATCAGTTACTTGAAAACAAAACACAGATCTATAAAATGCTCAAAAAGTTTGGAAGGAATCTCAAGTAGTATTTTGACAACCTTGTATTTGGCCTACATTTTTTGCTCTCTTGCATTATCTTCCTCTGCTGCTTTTTGTAACTTCTTACCTATTGAAGAGTTCTGGGAAAATAAAAGTTTTGTGCATGTTGATATTCTGGATGGGTATAAGAGATGACTCGGCTGAACCCGAGGGAAGGGTCAAATGTGTCATCGGTTTGGAGTCATGATGTCTCAGTAAAAGACCTAAGTCCAGCCCCTTAAAATCCATTGACTCTTATCTAGAGCCAATTACTTTGATCATTAGTACATCAGATTCTTGTTAATAGATAGAATGAAATAAACTCTTAATGCTTTTGAATTCTGTCCTGGCTCCTGATTTTCTGCACCTGACAATGAGTCTAAGGAAGAGATTATTGCTCAAGGACTTACAAGATAATCATGACTTATGTAGAATAAGCACTGGCTATTACCTGGATGGAAGAACAGCAGAAAACACAATAGTCTAGAAGTTAAAAATTGGAAACTGCTTCTATTTTGGTGTTAAAACTATATTTGTACGTCCATGAATTCACCCAGTTGGAACTCTCAACTCAAAGAAAATGGTCATTTTAAAATAATAGAGGTATAACCAGGTATGAATTTGTTGATATTCTTTTCCAATGGACCGACACGTTTGCTTTTTAGGTTTTAGAGATTCAAATAAAGATTTCTATTATCTGGATATAATATTTTAGGCCAAAGATTAACTTTCAGTATTCCTTTTTCTACTACCCACTGTAGCCAGTCAAATGCTTCTGAGCATCAAACAATCAACATGTCACTCAACATGATATCAATCTGATATCAACATGTTTCCATTACATATGACATTATCAGTTTTATCTCTAGCAATGTTTCTATCCTCTTTATCAAAACTATCCAAGCTTATTATGACAACTGGCCATATTGTGGAGCATAAGGAAATACTTCTTTTCCCTCTAGGGAATCTCCTGCCAACTAAATTAGATTGCAATATAAAATTGTTACAATCATGGGTTTCCATTCTTTCTCTCTATAATTTTTCTTAAGGTAATCATTCTAATTATTCAAGGTCATATTTGCATGCTACAGTGGCATTGCTCTATTGGATGCTATTGAGAAGTGGAATTGCTGAATGGCCCAGTTGTAGCATACATGGTGGAAGTCAAAGGCTGTGTCTTTAATAATGGATGGTGAGTTGCCTGATCATTTTAGGAGCTTACATGAGTGATGATCATGGGGTGTGGCTTTGTAGAGTTCTCCTGGAGAAATACTTCTGGAGGAGATTTCCAGAGGTTTTCCAAAACAGTGATCTTCACATCAGCCTCATGAGAAAAACTATTTATGTACTGGCCTGCCATATCTTTTGCTCTCACCACAAGGAGAAAGGCATTCCCTTTTGTTGAGTCCAAGCTGGTTTTTCCTGAAATTGTAACAGAGAATAAAACTTGAAACTATGCACTCTTTCTCCTACATTCTGAAACAATTACAACTCCCTTTCTTTAGCAATAACCCCATCACTTATTTTCTCATAAAGCTTGATAGTTACCATAATATTTATTTTTCTGAGTAATGGCAGGTTCTGCTGTAACCCTGCTTCCCAAACACAGATATGTGAAAGTCAGTTTTACAAGTGATTGGTTTTCTTTCTTTTCATCTTTTGTGCTAAAGTCTATCAAGGATCCCAAATACCAAGTAGCTACAGAAGACATCTTAGCATATAACAGCACAGGAATCTATTTCTGCTTCATTTATCTGCGGATTTCAATGATGTATGATTGTGGAGGTTTTTTGGGGAGGGTGGATCTTTAGTTTCTCTTCAGTTTGCATAAATATTTTGCATTTGTGAGAATGTTGGTGCTTGTGCTAAGTTTCCAGTGTTGCCAGTTATCGTTTCCTCAGAAGTTACGTCACATTTTCCCAGCAATACTTCTGAACCAGATGTTATGTAATGATTTCTTTATGTATCTTTCACATATATACACCAAGCCCTATGTAGCTAGTAAAACATTGGGACCCTTTTCTACATTTGGGAGGGCGGATTTAAGCCTTCTAGGGTTGGTTTTACTAGGAATTTACTTGGGGATTTGGAGTCCATTTAGAAATGGTAGGTTTCCCAAATGTCAGAAAATTAGATTAAGAGATGTGAAAGACTATTGACTTTGGCATGGCCATATGTTGCCAATGAAATCTAGGTTAAACTGTACAAGACTTAATTATTTTCATCTTATATTTTGTTGTTTTTTAATTAATAACAAAAAAGAGAAAATAGCAAAACACAAAGTTAATAGTGTCAAAGAAATGAAAACAATACACAAAAAGCACTCTAATGAAAATGTGCAAGAAATCCAATAAGGGGAAAAACATAATATATACCATTATAATACAAAGTAACAATTCTATATATACTCGTCTAATGCAAATATGATTCAAATATGTATATATTTCTAATACATGTGTATGACAATCTTTTTATGGCCTGTCATATTAGAGTCGGGAACGACTAGCACATATGTGCGAGGGGAACCTTTACCTTTACTATTATGTATAAATGAGTGCCGTATTTCATTATACATTCGTAGCATCACTATGAAAAAAAGTTACCTACCAGCAGCAGTTGTAGAAATTGCTCCTGTAACATTGTCAATCTGAAAATACATGTCAGTGCCAGGCAATCTGGGAAACTGATGAACGATACTATAGATGAGCTGTGCATGTAAGGTGCTGGGATCATCGCGATCAAAAGCAGTAACATACATGAAAGGCTTCCCTGTATGGTGGGGTTTTTTTAAAAGAAAAAAAAAACACAGTTTGGAAATGGAAAGTCTCACTCTGCACCAAAGAAGCATCACTGAGTTTCAACATATACATGCCAATCTCTTTAAATGGAACATCCTAAGCATAATTTATTTAGTTAGAAACCTCAAGAAAAACCGTCCAGGTCAATATTGGCTTTAGATATTTTAGCATTTTAAAGGCAGGGGGATTATCTTTTTCACATGGTTTTGATTTGTGAGACCCTGGGAACATTCCTTTCTTTTAATAACTTTTCACTGGCTCTCTTATTTTATATCCTTCACATGTCAACTGTTCCATCTTTTAGCCATTTTTCCCATCTGGTTCCTCGGCCTCATATTTCAAGAAACCCCAAAGTGGACTTTAAGAAAAGTGACTTAGGATAGTTTGAATTAAGGCTACTTGAGAGGAAATTGGAATAGTACTATACTCTGCTTTTCAGTCAAAGTTGCAAAGGTACAGTATCTTTGGGGTTTCACCTAGATCCCTGAAATAGTTATGTAAACTTAGGGGGGGGGGGAAACATGGCATTTAATTTTACTTGGTGCTTCCTCTTTAAAGGTGTGCCCAATAAAGAAGCATCTTGGGTGCTTCCTTGTGTTGTTGTTGGCCACTGTGAGAACAGAGTGCTAGATGGTTCAGAGGCCAAGAATCTGATGCAGTAGGCATTGCTTAAGATGGGCAAGACAAGATGCACTCCTATTTATGCCTAGGAAGAAAAGAAGAGGGAGGGGGAGAGATTGAGAGGGGGATAGTAGAGGTGATATTCAGCAGGTTCTGACCAGTTCTGGAGAAACCGGCAGTGGAAATTTTGAGTAGTTCAGAGAACTGGTAAATACTATCTCTGACTGGCCCCGCCCCGCATCTATTCTCTGCCTCCCGAGTCCCAAATGATCAGGAGGGAATGGGGATTTTGCAGTAACCTTCCCCTGGAGTGGGGAGGGAATGGAGATTTTACAGTATCCTTCCCCTGCCACGCCCACCAACCCACACCCATAGAACCGGTAGTAAAAAATGTTGAATCTCACCACTGAACTTAGCCTGTTTGTCATAGTCTCCCATGATTGCTTGGTAATAGAATAGAGAGAAAGTAGTCCCCAAAGGTGCTTTTTCAAGAGGCAACTAGATTTTCTGGGGTTTTTTCTTTTTGTTTGAAGATGTTTCACTTCACATTCAAGAAGCTTCTTCAGTTCTGACTGGATGGTGGGGAATGGACCATCCAGTCAGAGCTAAAGAAGCTTCTTGGATAAGAAGCAAAATGTCTTCAAAGAAAAAGAAAAAACTAGAAAGTCCAATTGCCTCTTGAGAAAGCACCTTTGGGGCAACCTTGATGACTGAGAATCTCCATAGACAGAGGGAAAATAGCTTTTTATATTATATTCAGTTTCATGTTTAGTATTTAAAATTTCTGGGAACCTCAAATATGTCAAAATAAATATGGAAACAAATACCTGGTCTGGAGTGTTCTCTAACTTCACCAATGTATTCTGTTTTACTGAATTCAGGTGGGTTATCATTGATATCCACAACATTTATGATGATAGAATAGGGGCCTTGCACCCTTTTGCTATTTTGATCTAGACCTTCCAACTAAATTGGGAGAGAGATGAAGAAAAACAATATTAAAACAAAGCATTTTCCATAACACAATACATTGTCTCCTTCCTTTTGAACTGGCTGAATTAAAGAGAATAAAGGAGTTGTAATAACATGTACCTGTCCATAGTTCAGGGAAGGTATAACAGGAAACCCCAGATAGGGTGCAATAGGTTGCTAAATAGAGTATGTTTCTTTCTAAATGTACTTGGTGAGCAATGTCATTGAGCCACAGTGGCGCAGTGGTTAGAGAGCAGTACTGCAGGGCTGCTTCTGCTGCCTGCTAGCTGCCTGCAATTTGGCAGTTCAAATCCCACCAGGCTCAAGGTTGACTCAAGGTAGGATGGAAGGTAGGTAGATAAAATGAGGACCCAGATTGTTGGGGACAATATGCTGATTCTGTAAACCACTTAGAGAGGGGCTGTAAAGCACTGTGAACCATTGTTGTTGTTGTTATTATTTGTGAAGTCGTGTCCAACCCATCACGACCCCATGGACAATGTTCCTCCAGGCCTTCCTGTTCTCCACCATCTGTGGAGTCCATTTAAGCCTACGCCTACTGCTTCGGTGGCTCCATCCAGCTACCTCATTCTCTGTCGTCCCATTCTTCTTTTGCCCTCAATCTTCCCCAGCATTAGGCTCTTATCCAGTGAGTCATCGTGAGAAAAACCCATGGAACGCGAAGCAGTATATAAGTCTAAGTGATATTGCTATCATAGCAACTTCTGCTTTTTACGTACTTTTGTTCAAACAACTGTATTTCCTTCTTGCTCAATCAACTAAAGTGTAAAGGCATACTGAGTAAATTGTTTGGGGTTCTTTCAGTTTTATAAGAGGGCCCTCCTTTGTCCAGATCTGAATAAAAGTGTGACTCAGAGAGAATTGAATTCTGACTCTTTGTTTGTGCTGGGCCACATCTATACTCCTGCTTAACAAACTAAGGCTAGGTTTAAGGTAATTTGGAAGTCCCTATAATACTAAACTATGTTGCTTTAACCTACACCCTCACCTACAGTTACCTGAATTATCATTTATTTGGATGAAATCCACACTTTTTATTTGGCCCATCAGAGATATCGACTAGGTCTGATTTATTTTGGCCATGTCATGCATGCAAAGAGAAGGAGAAGTCAATGATGGTAGGAATGAAAGATTAAGATTTAGACTTAGAATAACTTTATTTTCACTTTGAGTGTACACTAATCAGCATACATAAAAATGGAATTCCATTACATATAGTTCTCAAAGGGTCTCCACCTCTAATATACACTACATGAGCAAGAAGAAAGGGCAAGCAAAGAATATGCTGGCTTGATAACATCAAAACTGATACAAAGATGAATATCCAACAACTGAAAGAAGCTGTGCTTGACAGGGTAACACGAAGAGCACTTGCCTATAAAGTCACTAAGGTTAGATATGACCGAATGGTTAAAACAATGACATGTGGACCATCACCATCAAAAGCCATTCCTTACTTCCTGAGTACTACCAATAACATCATCCTCTTCCCACTCTCAGCACATTACAAATGCACAACATGCCCATATTTTTCAAGTTTCAATTCAACATTGCAGTTTTTTGACCTAGAAAACTACTGATAGACTAGTTAAGCCAAGCTTACATTCCCTGACAAATGGGAAGAGGAAGAAGAAGGAGAATGGCCAATCAGGTTTTGCAAGACCTATAGATTTGGAGCGAGTATCAGTCTGGCCCCATGATTAATTCATTATAATGCAGATTGAAATTTCTGAACTGAGTTTAAGAAACAGGTGGGGACAACACAGGAGACAAAAGCAAAATGGCTAATCTCTCACTTGTTAACATAACTAATGTTACAATTCATTTTCAAAATTTCTCACCTGCTTATTCCTAGTCTTGTCTGCTTCTCTCTGGTCAAGGCTAAAACTAAGGTAATCAACAGGCTAAGAAAGCGGAATTTGTGAAATGGGTAATGTGCCTCCATTGAGCAACCTGGCAGTCCTCTCCCATTGTTATAAATAGCTTTTGTTTTCAATATCAGTGTTTCTGAGCTTCAACCACTTTAAGATATGTGGACGTCAACTCCCAGCATGGCTGGGGAATTTTGATGAAGTCCATGCAACTTGAAGCTGAGAAATACTGTTTCATAGGGAAATGAAATAGCCACGGAAAGGGTTGATTTGAGAAAGGGTGAGCTCTTTTTTTGGAGAAGAAGGGACCCATGTGGGAAAGAGAGAAATAGGTCGTGATAAGTAGAGGAAGTAGATAAAAGGGGGATTAGAAGGATGGTAGAGAGCATTCAATTTATTTTATTTTTGCAAGCGTAGTTGATGTTATTTGCCTCTCAACCATTATCAAGTTTGTTGACAATAAATTGGACAGAGTACCCCAAACCACTTTATGTGGTTCAAGTCTTCCAGAATATGCTACTGAATATGCTACTTTCAGTGGTAAACCATTAAATTAAGTGATATTTAGTTCTTTCTCTATAAATAGAGGTAACAATAATAGCATTTAACATACCTATTTTATTGGGGGGATTGGCACCCCAAATCAAAATACACCAAGGATGACCAAAGTTTGCAGTCTTATCTTTTACAATATAATTACTATATTGTTGTTATGTGCTCTGCCTGAAAGCCCAAAAAAGCTTTTTGAATTGTCAACTTCCTACACTAATACCCACTCCTATTATGAATGCAATGGTTCTGAAAGGGGTAATATTACTTTGCATTTTTATATGGTTTCTGATCTTTGATAAATTTAGGTTTTGAGATGTTAAATTGTTATACATGAATGGTGACTTTTAGTTTAATTGTATTTCTCTTTCCAATTGCGGCATGTTGTGCTGTTTTTGTTTAATACGTTGGTCATCATGTCCTGTATTACCAGATTAAAAACAGAATAAATAATCCATCCATCCATTCTTCCATAGAAACATAAGCATTGGACTAGAAGAAAGTTACCAGTTTTGTTTTGCTTTTAATTATTATTGTTTTCATCTTAGAAGCCTTCACTCAATCTTTTGGCGGGAAATAACAGAACACTTAACATCACTTTTGGTTTACCTGTAATCTATATTGTGTTTTGTGTTCCCAGTCTAGAACTCCGCTAACAGTCAGGACTCCACCTTTGACATCTATGATGTCATCTGTTTCACCGATCAGTTTCACGCTGTAGGTAGGGGGTTGAAATGTAAACTGGTATGAAGAAAAAGAAGAAATTCAGAATTCCATTTTTTCTTATGTGAATCAAATTCCCCCTCTTTCTTTTTTTTGTTCTCCTCATTTTATTTTAAAATGGCAGCATGATTTATTTCCTCTTCATACACCTTCAATCATTTTTTTTCAGATTTGTTCCAAAGAAAGAGAAGAGTCAGTGAACATTACCATGTATAAATACTGTGGTCCCCCTTTACCCTCTTCAACATAAAAAACTTTGTCCTCCAAAGGTCCAGTGATAGGCGACTGCACGTTACCTTCAAGAAGGTAAGCAACCTGCAAGGACAAGAAATGACAGAATTTACTCATATTTTCCATATTAATTGATTACAAGGAGGTACGACATCATTGCCAAAGCAGTTTCATTCTTTGAAATTATAATAGAGGGAATAACAGTACTTTCTTAACAATGGGGAATAAATTTTCATTCCAAACAATTCAGCAGATAGTAGACAAGAGTCTTTAGCATTTTACATTTATACTGAACACAATAAATCCCAGCAGAAGTTTCTAAAAATCAAAATAATCAAGAAAGTCTAAAATATTTCCAGTTAAATACCTAAAGTTGAGGAGGTAAAATCAAATTCACAACATAAGTTTGACTTTAAATTTGAAGCATTAATAATGAAATTGCAAAAATATAGTTTGATAATGTTTGAGTACATTATCTGCAAATAGATCATCTGTATTTAAATTATTGAGGGTTGTATAAGGGGGTTTCTTTAGCCCCAAATGAGTTTATTCATATACATACACACACACACACACACACACACACACACACACACACACACACATATGCACATACTATTGTTTCAACATTATATTGCATTATTTCAACAACAGTAATAAATCTTGATTCCTGTGAGGTCTAATTAAGAATGGAAACATTAAAAAAAACCCACTGACATTGCCTAACTCTACTTTTGTTGCTTAAATCTTAATCTATATTTTATTCTGGATATATTGCTATCAGCTTCTCACAAAATAATTTTGTTTATTATGAATAAGCAGAGCTATTATGCAGACACTTCCCCTTGAATAATACAGTTCTACAGATCTTTTTTTTCTCACAAAATCATTCATCTTCCTGAATTGAAAGGCCATACCCAAGCTTTAGAATCTCCAGTGGTGGGATATAGTCGGTTTGCACCAGTTCAGATGAACCGGTAGTTGGAAGGACCCCCTGGCCCCATCCACTCCACCCTGCCCTCCCAGGAGTCTCCACATGGCCCATTTTTCCAGGTAAGTGCAGGGGCTATGCGGAGGGTCTGGGGGGGCAAAAATTGGGTCTTCCGGAAGTCCGACACCAGGCCTGTGTCCAGCTTCCGGAGGGCCTCTGGAACCTGGGGAGGCCTTTTTCCACTTGTGGAGGCTTGGGGAAGACTCTGTAGGGTGAAAAACGGTCCACCAGAAGTCCGGAAGCAGAATGCCTCAGGAGCCTGGGGAGGTCATTTTCGCCTTCCCAGAGGCTCGGGGAAATCCTCCAGAGCCTGGGGAAGGTGAAAATGCCCACCACCACCATGATGCAGGAAGCTGAGTAGGCCAAACCCACCATGTCCATGCTCACCCAGCAACCGCGCAGAGAACCAGTTGCTAACATTTTAGAATCCCACCACTGATCATCTCCTGTTTGAATTATTGCAATGTGCTATATATGGAGCTGCCCTTGGAGACCATCTGGAAGCTGTACCTGATCCAGAATTTAGTGCAGAATCCACATGCAGTTTTATGTACCGCATGATTCAGTCAAGTAATACCACTGCTGAATGAATTGCACTGGTTTTCACTTGCTTTCCAGGTATAAATCAGTGTGCTGGTTATCACTCTGAAGCGCTAATGGGAAAGGGCCAGGTTACCTGCAGGATTGCCTCTTCCTGAAGGCCTCTACTCTTCTAACTAGGTTAGATAGGGTACATACTCTCCAGATTGCCTCCCTATTGTGTTTTGATGGGATCCTGGGGGCATGCCTTCTCTGGAACAGCCTCCCACTAAAGGCCAGAAAATTCCTAGCCTGTTAGCCACAGACAGCTATGAAGACCGAACTTTTTCTTCTAGCCTTGGGCTGGGATGGTTTAGCTGTGAAAATGTTTGGTATGTTTTAATTGCATTTATATGGATTTATGTAAGCTACCTAGATAAAAACGGCCCATAAAACAGCTGAAAAATGTCCCAAAAAACAGCTGGGGGCAGGGCCAGCTGTTTTTATTATTTTTTTATTATTTTAATTTTATTTTAATTGAACAAAAAGAAAAAAAAGAATCACCCTCCATTACATCTTGTAGAAAGCGTGTCAATTGGTTACGGATAACTTTCGTGCATTTCTTCCACAGACATTACTTATAGTTCATATTAGATTATACACGTTAAGTAAAAAATCTTTGTATATCTTACTATCAATGTATCACAATTCTCATTTGACTACAATTATTTGAACATGCTTTTACCTCAAATCATTCATACTTAAAGACACAACCACATAATGGCATTCATTAGCTATTTCAAAAAATCCTCCAATAACATTACACCTTTATAGCATCTTTTAAGCAACAATATATACATCCTATGGTATTGGCAAAAGTAACTTGGATATAAATTTTAATCAGTGAGTTGGAAAAAAAGTGGGAGAGAGGTTTAGAAACTTTATTAATTGACCCAGCTCTGCTTTTGAGGCGAGTAACCGGGAGACGGGGCTGGGTGTGATGAGTGATGTTAAGTTGGCCACACCCACCACAGTCACATGACCATCCAGCCTCACCTGCCCAGCCAGAGAACCAGTTGTTAAATTATTTAAATCCCACCACTGTTATACCTACACTCTAACATATAAATACTAATCACTGTCCATCTTGAATATATAGCAGAAATAGGAAGTTTGAGAGTTCACAAGCTTAATACCGTATAGAAACAAAATATGGCTGAATCTGGATGTTCTGCTTCGGATACCATGAAGCCTCCTCCATGAAGGTAACAAGGAAAACAGGTCATGAAGGGGATGTGTAGCATCCCAGACAATCCGGAAGTTCTTACTCAAGCATCTCTTATATGCTATGTCCTGGATAGACGGAAGTGGAGTGCCAATAATCTTTTCTGCCATCCTCACTGCTCTGTGTCTGCACCACCTTCCTGTCTGAAGCAGTAATGGTTCCAAAACAGACAGTAATGCAATATGACAGGGTGTTGTTGATCGTCCCTCTATAGCTGTGATAGTGAACCTATGGCATGTGTGCCACAGGTGGCATGTGGAGCCATTTCTGAAGGCACGTGAGGCGTTGCCCTATCAGCTCCAGCGCACATGCGGCTGCTGACCAGCTGATTTTCAGCCTTGACTTTTCACCATTTTTTGCCCTCCGGAAGCTTCCCTGAAGCCTCTGGAGGGTAAAAAGCGCCCAACACGCAAACCAGGAGTTCGGCAATGGACTTCCGGTTTGCATGTTGGGCTATTTTTTGCCCTCCAGAGTAAAGCCTCCAGAGGGTGAAAAGCCGCCCAATGCGCAAACCGGAAGTTCAGGAACAGATTTTAGGTTTGCATGTTGGGCTGTTTTTCGCTCTCCGGAGGCTCCTAGAAAGCATCTGGAGCCTGGGGAGGGCAAAAAATGGACCTACCGAGCCCACTGGAAGTTGGAAAATGGGCCATTTCTGGCCTTGGGAGGGCCTCGGTGGGGGCAGGGAGGCCATTTCCCCCTCCCCAGGCTCCAAGAAAGCCATGCATGCATACGTGGGGCAGCAGGGGGATGTCATGTGCATATATTCAGGGGGCATGGCACATAGGACACAAAATTATGGGGGTGGGCACGCAAGCATGCATGATCGCACGCGTGCTCGTGTTTTTGGCACCCGAGGCGAAAAAGGTTTGCCATCACTGCTCTATAGAAAGTGGTAAGGACAGAGGGAGGACGCTGTACTTTTCTAATGCGACACCGAAAATGCAGGGACTGTTGCGCATGCTTTCCCAGTGTCTTGCTGTTGAGTGACCACGCCAGTGTACTCATTAGCTGCACACCCAGAAATTTGATATTGCTAACTACCTCCACGGGTGAATCATTTATACACAGAGGAATGTGGCTTTGCCTGCCTTTTCTGAAATTGACAATGATCTCTTGACTTCCTGGGGGCGGAGCCTGTCGCCGAGGAGGGCTCAACGAAGCTCCTCTCAGAGATCTGGTCTGTATATCTAAATAAGATCATAGATATCACCCCTTTTTGGCTAAGAAAGGGGCAGGGAGTGGCTC